TTTTTTTAGGGTGTGTACATACATCGTGTATGTAAGGATGTAAGTATGTTTGTATATAATAAAAAATAAATTGATATACTAATGCAAATAGGTGGAAGTATTATCATATATATATATATATATATATATATATATATATATACTTTATAAAGGGTTTTCCTTAAGAGTTGTTATTTTGAATAACTTGATATTCCGGTAGATGTCACTATTACAGCTGTCAGATTTTGACATTTGGAAGTAAAAACTGCGCCAGTAATAAAAATGGTGCGCTAAACGCTTCCACAACTTATTGAAACTATTAAAAATCACTATAAAAATGGTGAAAACCTGGCAGAGACGGTCGTGGTTAAGCAGCTTTTCATACCGCAATACAGAAGTTGGAGGAAAAAATAGAACTGTTGCGACTAGTTACTGATGTTAAGAATTAAACACGTGCACATCATTGAAGAATAACTGAGTACTTTGATGTTGTAGCCTAAAGTGTTGAAGAAGACCCAGTTTTGATTACTCCTTGTCCTCGTTCTTTGGAACTTGACATCTCACAAACGTCAGTACACCGTATTCTGCATTAAGACTTGGGTCTTTAGGCTTATAAAGTTCAACTAACACAAAAACTCACGCCAGCCGATTAACAACAATGTCGTGTCTTTGCTGATTGGGTACTTGAAATGCCTGAAAATCATAAGGAATTTCATTGAAAAATCATCTTGACTGATTTTCACCTCAATAATTGCGTGAATAAGCAAAACTGTGGCATCTGGGGCTCGAAAAATTCAGGATTTATTGTCGAAAAACCTTTTCATCCTCAACGTGTAACTGTTTATGGTCCAGCGGGAACATTGGGCCTTACTTAGAAATTTAGAATGATGGAGCAACGGTTATAGTGAATGGATTGCGCTATGAGAAGATGATTAATGATTTCTTTGTGGCCGGAATTAGAAGATATTGATCTGGACAACTTTCACTTTAAATAAGTGCCACACAAGCAACGAAACCAACACATTTTTAAGTGAAAAGTTTCCGGACCGTGTTTTCTATCGCAGAGGTGATCGCAATTGACCACTGAGATCTTGTGATTTAACACCCTGCGACTTCTTCATTTGAGACCACGTGAAACGAAAGGTCTACGCCAACAGACCACAAATATTCAAGAGCACAAAGATGGGATTTGTGAAACTATTGAGGGCATACAGAAGCCATTTTGCAATTTAGTGATGAAAAATTTTATAAAAAGGATGCAGTTCTGTAAGCGTGGCCGCGGTAGCTATTTGACTGATATTGGCTTACATTATTAATGGCATCTCTCTTTATATTAAAATAAACATCCCATAATTTATCTCAAAAAATGACATTTTTTCTTGTTTATCAAAATAATACCTTTTATTGGAAACCTCTGTATTTAGATTGACAGACAGCTTAGTAAGGAGGATATGCACCCCGACAAGTGGTCTATTGTGCTCTCCGATTTCTTCACATTATTTCAACCAGACCAAATGCCCATATAAAGCTAATTTTAGGCTAGAGGGGCTGATTGATTTAGTGTATTTGAATATGTACGAGGTGTGTTCAAAAAGTATCGCGAATTTTGAATTTTCGCTGGTTACGTATAATCGAATTTCGATTTTTTGGTGGCGTTATGTTGGTACTCATGTCTGTCACTTATGCCGACAAGCTCGGCCATTTTGAATGTTCACTTAATTGTTGACAGCTGCTTTGCTTGCACGTGTTTTGGATGGTCTTCGATTTTTACCTATTCAAAAAAATTGATCAAAGAACCTGTATCAAATTTTGTGTGATTCCCCAGACCTGGCCCCCTGTGACTTTTTCTTGTTTCCTAAACTGAAGAGGTCCATGAAAGGACGACGTTACGCTACGATTGACGAAATAAAGACGGCATCGAAGGAGGAGCTGAACAAGATAAAAAAAAATAATTTTTTGAAGTGCTTCGATGATTGGAAAAACCGTTGGCACAAGTGTATAATATCTCAAGGGGATTACTTTGAAGGGGGAAAAATAGATATTCATGAATAAATAAATATTTTTTGAAAAACACAAAATTCGCGTTATTTTTTGATCGCACCTTGTATGTAGATATTTCAAGAGCCTATTGCTGTGTCGAAAAATCGGCTCATATTTGTTGTCCTTGTAATCATGTAATTAAAATAGTTTAAAGGTATGTGTTGTCCTATATTGAAACCAAATTGCCCAAATTATTACTAAAATACCTTGCAATTAGTTTTGGAGTTATTTTTCTTCTTGTCGGCAAAATTTTTTGAAAAGGATTTAGCATAGCCGGCAGCTGTTCAGTGCAATATATATATATATATATATAGATGTATAAACAATTCAACCATTGACTAGAAGTAATAGACACACATGGACTTACATACGCATACACACATGTAAAGGTACTTGGCACCGTTTGGCGCATTTGTACGACTAAACATTTAATAATAAAAATATTTATTTTGAATTATTACTAAACAGTTCGAAACGAAAATATATGTAAATTATGGCATTAAATATTTTTTCAATGCACTTAAGAAGCAGAGAAATTGAATTTGGCAGAATTCCAATAGTATTCCATGCATTTGCATATGTACAATGCTTGACTTTGGCTTCAGACAGATAACAAGGGAAATTATCAAAATTATAATTTACTTTAAATGTTTTAAAAATAGAAAGCAAAATTAAATTATTAAAATAGCAAATTTAAATGATAAATGCATATTTGCATACTACTTGAGAAGCATTTTATTAATGAATTAAATTGAATTTTATTTGAATTTTATATGAAATTTAATTTATTTCATTAAAAATCGCCAATAGAAATACATATATGGATTTTAAAAATTCAAAGTAAAACAAAATAAACTTAACTGAAATAAATTGAAGCAATTTATAGGGTTATCCATGTCATGGTTTCAAAAGTGCAGGGTTGTATTTCGACATCTGTCAAACATAAGTGTCAAATAAAACTCGTTTTTTTTTTAGTTAAAAGTCAAGCATTTATGAAAACGGTTCGCTTAGCCACCGCACAACACGCTAAAACTGCTAGAACCTAATATAAAAGTCGTCCTACTATTCATGCAAATATCTTTACAGTAAATGGCGGTCATACCAGAGACCCGAATGTGTCTAGCTCTCGATGTTCTCAAAAGCTGGGACTTTCTTATGAGTGACTTTATGTCTTATTTTGTGCTTGGAATAGCACCTACATTCATATATATGTAGTTCAGCTCAAGCAACAACAGAAACCAGCTGACCTTCAGCACACTGTACAGACGATTGGGTGCTTGAATACGAAGAGAGTGGACGGCGGTTTTTCGAACAAAATTTTCTTTGGCGACAAGGCATATTCCTCACTCGTATATACTCGTATATATATATATATATATATATATATATATACATATAAGCAAAAGTGCTCCGAGAATTTTCAAATAATTGAAGAGAGTCCATTACTCCAAAAAAAAAACGTACTGTCTGTTGGGATCTGTCCTCCGAGGGTATGATTGGAGCTTACTGTATTAAAAGCGACAGCGGCGAGACTGTTACTGTCAATTCGGAGCGCTATGATCGAATGATAACCGAGAGCTTTAATAAAACGACTTCGATAAGATGTAGCTTCAACAAGAGGCTGCCACTTGTCACACAACCGGAGCAAATATGGTTTTATTGCGAGAGAAATTTCCAGGCCGCGTAATCTCTGGGCTTGGCCATTGAGATCGGGCGATTTGACTATTTTTTAGTGTGGCTGCGCGAAAGAGCGTGTTTATGCGGATAAATCTTTAACTCTGGCACGCTTGAAAAACCAACACTCGCAGAGGTATGGCTGAGATACAGTCCAATATGTTCCAAAAAATGGTCGAATTTATCTCATACGTATTGAAAATTTGCAATAATTTACGAAGTGGAATACTTTAAAACTAGAAAACAAAAAGAAAATAAATTTAAATAAAATGATAAAATAAATTAATAAATAAAAAAAGTTAAAAAAATAAATAAATAAATTTAAAAACAAACAAAATGAAACTAATAAAGCTAAAAATAAATAAAAAAATTTAAAAACAAATAAAGCTATAAACAAATAAATAAATTTAAAAATAAATAAAGTTAAAAAAATTAAAAAAAAGAAATAAAAGCATAAATTTAATAAGAAAATTTAAAAAAATTAAATAGGAAACAAAATAATTTAAAATTAAATGAAATGAAATAAAACTAAAACAAAAATTAATAAGGCAAAACAAAATAAAATAAAATCAAATGAATTATAATGAAAATGAATTAAGTTTAAACTCAATTAAATTTGAATTAAAAAGCTTTGGCAATAAGACGATTTTCTGTTGTTCTTCCAAGTTAAAAGCATTAGTTAATTCACTCAGAATATAGACAAACAAATTTAAAATTTTGCCCCTTTTTTGGCTCTTATCAATTATTTTTCACAAATTAAAAACCAGCTCATTTATACATATTTAATCCATGTTCGTACATATTTACGTTACTGAAGAAATATTAGGTTTCGTATTTACCTACATATATATGTAGATCGGCTTATAAATATTTTGCTCTCCTAACATTGTACTTTTCCCTTTATCTTCCTTAACACTTTAACCAGAGAACGAAAATTAATTTGATTTTAATTTAAGTTAATTAATTTAAGTTTGATTTACGTTCACTGCTTTAATTTGTGGAGGCAGTGTATTTTTGTTGTTTCATACATACGTATGTATTATGAGTACATTTATGTATGGATGCGTTTGTTTTAAGAAAGCTTTGTGCTCGGTGTGGAAGTGCCACGGGCTGAGAGCAATTATACCTTCTATTGCTTTTACTTTTTCGGTTTACTTCTCCTAATGTGCATAATTTTGTCTCTTACACTTTTCGTATTAATTGTTTGTTTATTTTCAATTCTTTCACTTTCATATATAAACCGCGTTCATTCTTACATATACATATAAGTGGCTTCACATTGACGCTTCCATTACGCCGGCACTCACCTGTGTATATTTGGGTACCTCATTAGGATTAGCCATTTTATTTAGATATGTATGTAAGTCCTTTTAACAATTATTAAAAATCGAATGAAATTTATAAAAAAAACTCTCTTTCTGTATGGCACACCGGCTTTTTTAGGCACAAATGAAAAAAATCAGCTGTTCAACAATGTTGGCTGCGGTTGTTCGGAAACAATTGAAGCTTCGCATTTGTCAAGCGCTTTTATTTATATGGTGCCTCTGTGTATTTATGCATGTATATACATATGTTAATAACAATGCAGCAGCGGTAAACAAATATTTTTAGCTACAAATAAACAAAAATCTGAGGATATTTATTGTTTGTGTCTTCGATAGAGTGTAATGAATTTAAGTTTGTTGAGCACAGGGTGTTATGGATGAAAGAAAAAATTTAAATGTCAGTGAATTTATAAACGGAAATCATGATTGTTACAGGAATATGCTACGGATCTCCGTTGTAGTATCTCGGGCAATTGATTTTTGGGCATCATGAAGAACAGCTGAAAGTAGTTAAGTAAAAGGATTAAATGGGTTTGACAGTGAAGGGAATAAAATGATATTTTACTGCATCTCTGATATATTTATAATTCGACGGTAAAAGTTTCTTGTATAGAACTACCAAAATTATGTACTTAAGGACAGACTTTTGTCGCATAATATTTGAAAGAGATATGTGAAATATTTTGCAACTTTCTCTCCTTTCTTTCTTAGCGCAAATTCCAGTCTAAGTTGTTGTCTAGAATATCTTTTCAAATCTCAATACGCAGAAGGAGTAATAGGGTTCAGCCCACAGCCTAAGCCCCTAATCATTGAGATCTGAAACTTGGAAGGTGTGTTTTGCGTATGAGGCAGACATCGGATTACAAAAGAGTTCCGGGAATGTGGACTTGGTACCGATGTATTCGAATTTATATTTAAATTGTTCGATTTACATGAATTTTGGTTCATTCTGTGCTTATGTTGACATGGAAAGCACTTTTTCCTGCGGAAAATCGACCTAGAACTGATATATGCGTAATTTCTTCGTCTATCGTTTGATTTACGTTAGTATGGACGTAGTATTTTTGCCTTTATAAGCATCGGAAATCTTTTTCTTTCAGGAAGTATTCCTGGTACCGATCCAATCGTTCGGTTTTTTTTTAATATTCGAAACATAGGTTAGTGTTTTTTAAGAAAAGTTAATTTGAGTATACATTTTATTTCGGAAGTAAAATCAGAACCGATCTAATTGGAAATATCGTGATTATGATTCATATATGTCTACGCCAATGTGTGGAGAAATTTTCATTTTGGCACCGATTTTTCTCAAAAAACTATGTCTCTAGTTCGATTTGCTTGATATTTGGAGCATAGAGAGCTCTTTGTCAAGGTTAATAATATTTCGGGTTAATTCTTTTTTTTAATGTTGGTAGCACTGTTATTGCCATCTACGCTAAACTTCAAGTCAATGTCATCGTTGGTATTTTAGTTACGTTTGTGCTCACTAAACGACTAAAAGTGCCTTCGGCGATTTTTAAAAAGTCTGATTTAATTGAGCAAAGAAGTGCGATCAAATTTTGTTTGCGGAACGAGTTTTCGGCTGCTGAAACATTGAGGATGCTACAGAACGGCTTTGGGAACTCAACTATATCGCAGAAGAACATTTATAAGTGATACAAAGACTTCAAAGAGGGTCGGCAACGTGTTGCTGATTTGGAGCGCTCGGGACGACCATCAACGTCAACTGATGTGCAACGGGTCAATGAAATTAAGGAATTAGTGCTCAAAAGTCGTCGGTTGGAGTATCAGAAGGATCTGCAATTTGCAAAAAAAAGACAAGAATTATGGACCAACAGTTCGTGGTTATTGCATAGTTAAAAATTCAACGAATATCGTTCTCGAAATTTACTTTATTTCCGGAAAGGGACTCACAGAACAACAAATCGATTCAAATTTGTATAAGCTGCATAACAACACAGAAAGCCACCACAACGTGTGACCGGAACCGCTACGACAATAACAACAACAACACCGGATCTCCTAGTAGTTTATAATAGCTAAAATTTAGTTGGTCTCTGACATTTCACATTTGCAAACTGGCTATGGAGAATAATTAAAATAAGAAAAATGTATAGATTTTTTTTCATCGAACTTATTAAAATTCTAAATATTATTTTTCGGCTTACCGGTAATTATTGTTATTTTGTTTACGAATTATGATAATAAAAAAACCGAAAAACTTATATATAAATTTAAATTTATTTTCACATGGGTGTGCGAAAGTATTTGAGCTTCTAAATGCGCTTTTGTCTACGATAAAGCTTTTTGCCCGACACAGGGTGACTACCAAAAAGTCAATATACATACAAGATAAATATATGTTACATACATTTATAAAAATTTATTTTTACTTTATTTAATAATTTAAGAAAATAATATGAAATAAAACATTCCATATTAAATATTTATGAGTTATATAGTTTATAGAATACGATCATAACTTTGTTAAAAATTCTCAGTAAATATATGTATGTATATGTGTTGTCAAACTTCCGTCGCCATTTCGATTTCCAGCGTCAGTTTCCGCTGGGGCGAGCAGTGAGCTGAACAACTTTTGTTGTAATCATAAAATATTGAGAGAAATTGATGAGCATATTTGATTTTGCGTTAGATAAAAAATAGTGTTTTAAATGTGTTTATTATGGAAGTGAAATACATAAATACATATCTACACAGATATACATGTTATATACATATAAGGGCGCTGGTGCTGAAAATGTTAACGCTTTCTCTGCAAAATGAGCTAACAGCAAAGTTCTCTGTATGAAGTAGCCTGTGTTGGTCCGATTTGCAACTAGATGGTCGAAGGCCATTAAATGTGATCAAAGGTTCTACACAATGGCACAGTTGCGGTGGCGTTCATAAGTAATTACCGTAATATTTATTCAGCGTCTGCGTTTGGGACAAAAAGAAACGACTATTAAAAATAGTAATTGTCAAAGTCATAACTATGAATTGTGACGTCGGAGACAACAATTGGAAATGTGCTATATATTAGGTGTAGTAAAAAGAAATCCATTATTTCTTCAATCGATGGCGTTATTTATCTGCTTCTCGCGTTGTACAAGTCTGATCGGGTTGCGCTAGATGGCATTAGAAAAATAAAATTTCGTACTGAAAAAGGTTTTACAGTTGACAGTTTGGAAATTGGATTGGCTACTCCACTGAAAAGGAATCTGTTAACGCTTCCATTTTATGCTCGCTCGCTACTAGTCCCATTCAAATCGTTTTCAAATTGATGTTATGACCGTGATGCATACAGACCTCTGGCTATATTCCGTCCAATACCACAAGGTTGATTTGGATACGAGATTTTCGATCTGGAGGCAGCGTTGTAGTGCAATAATTCTCCAACGAAGACATCTTTCATGGGCGTGGCAAGAATTTAGTGAAATGTTGAAGAACCGCGTTTTTATGCGGAGAGAATGCAAAGCATTTGGTTTGGTTTTTTATAGATATTAAAAGAGACTGAATCAGTTTGGGCATCATGGTTTTGATCGCTCCATCATAAAAATCACTTCTGTAACTAAAAGTGTAGCCGAAGACCCGATTGTGTCTATATCTCGACGTTTTCAAGAGATGGAACTTTCCTAGGGCACATTTTGGCGTCGTTTCCACCATCCATCCAATCTACATCCAAATAAAGTTCAGCTCACACAACAACTAAAGCCGGCTGATCACTCACAACGCAATACAAACAAAATTGTCTTCAGCGACGAGACACTCACTCGGGGGATATATAAGCACAATATAATATATAATTGGCGCTTTTTAACCGCTGAAGCGTCTCTCGGTCCAGCTCCTCCTCCGATTTGTGGTTTTGCGTCTCGATGTTTTTCAAAAAAAAAAAAAAAAAAAATTAAGGGAGCTACAGTTTTATATTAAGCCTTCTACGAATGGCTGATGGTGTTTTATGAGGAGTCATTCAGAAATACACTCGAAGAGGTTGACATTCCCTATCGAGGGGCGCCCGCAATAAGAAAATTTAGTTTAATTTTTTACCTAAAATAAATTTTCTATAACTATTTCAGCCACCATATAAGCAAAAGGCTCTGAGAATCCTCATATAAGTGAAGAGAGTCAATTACGCAAAAAAAAAAACTTCCTGTCTGATGCGCTCTTTGGTCAAGAGGTGTGATTGGACCTTACTTCTTTCAAAACGTCAAAGGTGAGACTGTCACTGTCCATTCCGATCGTTATGATCGCAAGAGTACCGAAATTTTTTTGGTCTGTAATTGAGGAACAGGACTTTGGCAATATGTGGCTTCAACAAGATGGCGCTAAAGTCACTTAATATGGGCACATATGGCTTTATAGGGAGAGAAATTTCCGGGCCGCGTAATACATCGTCTTAGCGTTGCCAATTGGTAATTGGGGACTGTTGTTGCACTTGTTTTTGTGCGGCTAAGTAAAAGATCGTTTTTATGCGGTTAAAACTTTGACTCTTAAGCATTTAAAAATCAATAGTTCTCAAGTAAGGACTGAGATACCCTCCAATATATGCCAAAAGGTGGTCGAAAGTTAACTCAAACGGATCGAAGTTTGCGAAAATTCGTGAGATAGTCACTTGAATACTTAAGATACAGTGTTTTCCAGATGATGCCAATATTCAAAGTTTTTATCAAAAATGAACTTCATGAAAATAAAATTATTTTAAATGCATATTATTTACGTCCATTTTCGAAACCAAAAAATGGTTAAACCTGTATTTTATATATAAATTTCTTTATTCTCCTCGAATGCGTGATTGTTGTCAATTGTGGTGAATTTTTTTTTAATTTTCTACCATTTGCTGATTTATCTTGCGCTTACTTCCACGTAGTATTAGGGTGTGCGCAAAGTGGTAAGGTTTTTCGGTGACAGCGATTTTTTTTAGCACTCGAGCTGCATTTTCATAAGCCAATATTTTTTAATTAATTTACTGCATTTAGTTGTCAAAACTTCTTGTTGGCGATGCCAAAAACAACTTCCGATTCATCGGACTGCTTTGGGCCAGCCTTTTTCCATAAGCCTAACTTTCCTAGAAGTTCGAAAAAAAGTTAAAAAAATATTTACCGAAAAATATACAAATAAAATTAGCTTACCAAACGTAAATATTTTACTAATATTATTTATTTGCATTTTTGTTGTTATTGGTTGTTTAAATGGTTTCGGGGAATTATTTCTGTTTTTAAGCCATTCAAATGGCGTTGTTTTTTCTCTGATATCCTTATTTGAATTTGAGGGCGTATTGGATAATCGATGGTTAGGATTTTGTAAATCATAATGATCCAAAAATTTTAGTTGCCCAAATTGGCTGGAAATTTGAGATCTTAAACGGAGCAGAAAGGAATTTGTTTAGTTTCGAAATTATGATTTAAATGTACACGTATGTTGTGTGTTCGTTGAAGTGTAATGTTTGTTACCTGTAATGCTCATATTCATAATTTACATATTCACAAAACGGCTGCAGCTCCAGCTTATCCGGACAAATTGGATTCCCATGCAAACTCAAATATTCCAGATTCGGAAAAATGCTAGCTAAAAGTGTAATAGTCCTCTGAAGATCCATTAACTAAAAAAGAAAAAGAGTTGATTTTACAACAAATATACACACATATGTATGTGGGACTACATGAAAGTAGCTTTTATTAATTCACATTTATATTTTATTTTAGACAATATTTAAAATTTAATTTTTATATTTTAGCACAATCCTTATTGGCGATAGATGTCCGTGTCTGTTCGTGGTCGCGCAGTAACTAACTTCGTTCTTATTCAGTTCGTTCGTTAGTTCAAATTTATGTCCTTGTCTACGTGTTGTCGGTATCAGTGTTGTATACGTCCGTCAAAGTTATTTTATAATATCCTAATGTCCTGTTCACATGTTCCCACCTGTATGCTTGTACAAGTATATCACATCAATCGCTCACCTCGTTGCGGTTCAACATCAACAACTTAACCTTCGGCAACGACCATTGCAGTTGCTGGAAATGTGCCTCATGCAGCCGATTATTGTCTAGCACTAGATATTCAAGATTTGTAAATTCATACAAATACGATAAGTTCATCAGCCGATTATGACTGCAATCCAGATATTCAGTACATGTGCCGTATGTGTCTATAAGCTCCGATGGCAGGGCAACATAATGACAATGCGCCAAGATTAACTGTGAAGAGATTTGATAAGTGTGTACACTTGTAAATATGTATGTACGAGTATGTAACAAACAAGAGGCTTTGTTAATATTATTATCTATGAATGGAATGCATAATTGTCGTTCTCACCTCTTTGCTCAGCGCATTGTACCGTACAGTTGGTTGGGTCATGGTGGGTGGGGTGCGGCGGTTTTGATTACTTTCTAATTTGTTTTTTTTTTCTTAATATATTTAATTTTATTATCTTTCTAATTTGTTATAGCAAATAGCCATGCTATAATTATTGTGCTTGCCGAGTAAATATCAATATTTGTTGTAAATTTCTGAATTCACTTTTAAAAGACTTTCCGATATTCGTTTCGGTGTGTTCTCACTTCATCATTGCTGTCTGAGATTTGTTGTGTTACTGAAGCTGTAAATGTTGAAATGATTTTGTTTGACCGTTGTGCTGCAGCGATAATCGCCAAGAGTGATAATGAAATGAGTCACAGATGGCGCTTAAAGCGATTTTTTTTGCTTGCTTGTGATGAGCATTTTTTCAGAAGCAGACAAATCACTGAGAGAATGCGGTTGATATCCAAATTTTTTTTTATTATTGTAATTATTTTTTAATGAAACGTAATAAATAAGATGGATGGTGCGATGTGTGGAAGTTTTTGACTACAACTCTTTGGTGAGTGGCCAGAAACGATTCTCTGACTTATGGTTTAAGCAGCTCACGGTCTCATTTTCTTAAACTAAATCCCTCTTGGGACCCACCAGAAGAAAAAAAAAGCCACAGATGAGAGACCCATCTTTTGATGACCACCGCGGAAAACGTTTAAAGATCACGATTTTAGGGCATGCACCTGGAATGTCAGATCTCTTATTTGGGAAGAGGTCGCTGCGCAGCTGGTTGATGTCCAACACTTTAATGATTTGCACCTACACCCCGATTGAAGAAAAATACGATGTGACCAATGGACCAATGATGACTTTTATGGGCGTCTAGAGCATACTTGTGAGCGTTGTCTCTGCCATGATATCGAAATTACGCTTGGCGATTTTAAAGTCAGAGTGAACGGAGCTTCAGTGTGATAATCTTATGACTGATGTTCCTAACATGCTTGCTGTAAGGAGGGAACTCTTTTTCAGCCTGATGACTGGCAGTGAAAGCGCAACAGCGGGAGTTGTTGTAACCGGACCTCCCTAATCGATGATGGAAAGAAAAGAAATTCTCAACTACAACGAATTTCGATTACCCGTTCAACAACAAGGCGGTGAAGAGTGAAGAGAGATAGAGAGAGAGAGAGAGAGGGAAGATGCATGCATCAGCTTCTTTGCAGTATATGGTCGGACGAAAGCATGTCCGATGAATGGAATCTAAGTATTATCTGTTCAATCCATAAAAAGGGAATCCCAGAGGCTGAGCTTATAACCATGGAATCGCATATAAGCTACTTTTGAATGTATTGTCTGGAAGAACAAAGCCGATTGTCAACAAACGGATTGGATATTATCAGTGTGGATTTAAACCTGGTAAATCAATCACTGACCAGATATTCACCATGCACCAAATCTTGGAAAATATCTGTGAAAACAGGACCGACACCCATCACCTCTTCGTCGATTTTAAAGCAGCCTTCGGCAGCACGAATAGGAGCTACCATTACGCAGCTATGCCTGAATTTGGTATCCCCGAAAAACTTATACGACTGTGCAAACTGGCGCTAGATAACATCAGAAGCGTTACTAGTATTGGAAAGGACCTCTCAGAGCTGTTCGGTCCAAACGAGGTTTCAGACAGTGAAACTCTTTTTCAAGTGATTTCTTCAATTTACTTCTAGAAAAAATAACAAGAGCTGCAGAGCTGAATAGAAAGGGTACAATCTTGCTGGCGTAAGCCGAAGTCAATGGTATCACAGGCCATACCAGCAGCGCATACTTTCTCTTAACATGGCAAAGAAGCAAGGCGAGTGGATCTGGTAGTGAACGAGGACAAAATGTCTCCTGACACCAAACAAACAGTCACGCGTCTCGCATCTGCCATGCCACTGTTGACAGTCATTACTTCGAGTTCCTAGATAATTTCGTCCTTTGCCTTGAAGTCCATTTGAAAAGTGAAGTCCTCTCCCGGCGAACATATACCAAACTCTGCTGGTCGCTCATTATTCCCGTTCTGCTATATGGTGCCGAAGCGTAGACGGTGTCGACATCCGATTTATGGTACTTTGGACATTGGCAACGGTGAATACTGCAGCCGATGGCGCGATGAGTTGTACGAGTTATTCCATGATATTGACATAGTTCAGCGAATGAAGAGACAGCGGCTTTGCTATGAATGAAGAAGTCCAGCTTTGAAAGTATTTGATGCAGTACCCGCTGGTGGAAGCAGAGGGAGAGGAAGACCTTGACTTCGTTGGAAGGATCAGGATCCTACAGCCAACATTCTGCCGGACGGTAGTAATGATGCAGGTATCATCAGCAAATGTGAAAGTTGTGCTGTTTGGCGGCGTAGGCAAACTTCCTAGAGACACACCTATTCCACGTTGCAGAATATGATTGTCCCCACGTGATCTTGAAGTAGGGTTTTGCGGTTAACTAAGAGACCAGTAGATCAGCTACACACAGGGGATGGAAAAGTCTTAGTTTATGAAATAAACCAGGGCGCCACACTCTATCGAATGTCTGAGTCACGTCTAGGCAAACAGCCATGAAAATGTTCTGATTATCTATGTCATCTCTATTACCGTTGAGCACGATTGATTGTAGAATATCGGATTTTAAGCCCAAACAGCCAGCAATAATTTTGGACGATATGACGTACATAAGAAATGAGTGAGATCTCGTCTTCCTTTGAAATTGAATCAAAATATACAATAATATATTACTATTTTTTCTCAAACAAGTATCTATCCCATGCCTTGGGTTCTTCACCACCGTCACCCCTGCAACTACTTGCCATTTAATGCAATTATGAAATAAATTGACGCCCATTGAGACTGTCGATAGTGTCAATTTTGCATCAGTCAAAATTATATTTTGCTTGAGAAAAATTAAAATTCAATTAAAGTTTCACAATACGCAAATGTATACTGAATTACAAGTGGAGTAAGAGGGGATTAACAAAAGTTCGGTCAGTTTGTGACTTTCGATTTGTTGTTATTAAATCTAAAAATACCAAGTCCTTTGCAATTACTTTATTAGTCTCCCTTTCAAATATTAAAGCGATCGACTAAAAGGAAGACGAGAAAACGCAAGATAACTGAGGATAAGTCAGACGAAACTCCGCCACCAAAGCGAGCAGAAATTCGCCTGTTAATTCTCCTCGGGCTTCGGCGCAATTTACTGCCAATAAAAATATTCATTGAATGTCAAATTGCATATGAAACGATTGTACCATCTTTAGAGACTATTTCTAAGTGGTTCTGAAGGTTCCAGATCGGACGTTTTTCCGTAGGGGACGAGTCCCGAGAAGGTCGTCCAAAAACTTATAGTGAATACGTCACTGTAGAACTGTTATAGTCCAATATTGACAGAGGCCCACTATTGACACGAGATATGACTGCTAATGAATTGGGCTTGAGTGCCATGGCTGTACCGCGAATATTAAGTAACCATCTGGGATGCACGAAGAAATCTGCTCGATAGGTACCACGAACATTAAGTCAGGCCCAAAAAGAGGCTCGAGTGCGTTTTGCTTAATTTTTCCTAAACAAATTCGAAACTCGTCAGTCTAGGAATTTGAATAAAGTCATTACTGTCGACGAATCTTCGTTCTATAAGAATGATCCAGAAACCAAACAGCAGTCCATGGTATGGAGCCTAACAGGAGCAAAGTCACCAATAAAATTTAGCAACAAAAATCAGCAACAAAAGTGATTATGCCATTTTACTTCACCAGATCTAAAACCGTAGCTACTATTCCACTGGAAAAGGGTCAGACGGTAACTGCAAATTTGAGCGGTTAATTCTGAACTTGATAAGCTTAAAAACCAGGATTTTTAGGAATGTTGTCAGAAGTAGATTTAAGACTCGTATTGAAATCTATAGCGATTATGTAGAGAAGATAGGAAAAGACAAAGATTACGAGTAAATACAAAAGGAATTTTTTTCTGGTCATCTTACCGAACTTTTGTTAACTCCCTCGTATATGCATGTCTCCATACATATAAAGGGTTATCTCTTGTGCGGTTTCGAAATTCAACCTAAATAAAAAACATCAGTATTTATATATTGGATCCCGGAAGCCTGGCAATAAGTAATAAAATCTTAAACGAACTGAAACATCGGATAGAGGCTCCTCATAAAACAAACCATCAGTCATTCGAAGGCGGCTTAGTATAAATTGTAGGTTCCTCCACATGTTGGAAAAACATCAAAATGCAAAACCACAAATTGGAGGAGGAGCTCGGCCAAAAAATCGCATCAGCGGTTACAAACTAAAACATAAAACACATTAGTAGGAACGGGCGGCTGGCTTGTCATTGCTCTTTAGCAGGCTGCTTTGCTTCTTCTCCGAGGGGGGGTTTGGCTTGTTTCATGGGCCAAGGTGCTAACCAAAGAGCTCGGATGGTTACGCAGTTCGCTTAGGTATTTAAGTACTGCGACTACAATCTCTTCCTTGATGGTGGGTATATTTAGATCTCTATGGATATTTTCATTACGTTCTCCGTTACGCTTAACGTTTTCGTTTGGAACCTTTGAATTATAACTCTTTTCGTCGCGCAAGCTGTGCCCCATAACTGGACTCCTTACATCCTTATCGGTTGGCTAAGTCCAGACTTCTTGTTTAAAAGCCAATGTGAACTGGCAGATTTAGGTTTGAGCTGCAGCTTTTTAGCAGAAAAGTGTCGTGATCTCCAGGTTAAACGTCGGCCTATGTTTTCATTTGCATTGAATAAGTAGGATACAGGGATATTGTGTAATGATTTTTTAATCAGATCACACCGTGCGATATTAAGAAAACAGCTGAGCAATACTCTTTGAATTCAAAAGCTGCCTATATTTCATTTGGTATACGACTTACTTGTTCAATTGTGTCAGGTCTTTTGTGAAATTTAAATATATGCCAGATCATTCGAAGGATCCATTTGAAGTTATTTTCGAGCACTTTTTGGCATATATTGGAGGGTATCTCAGTCTTAACTTGAGGAATGTTGATTTTCAAGTGCTCAAAGTTATAGTTTTATCCACATAAATACGATAGTCCCTCAAAAATAAGGTCCAACGCTGGCAAATGACACGATCTCCATGTCCAATTGACATCACCAAGACTAGAGATTAGGCGGCCGGCAAAGTTTTCATCACATTGTTGAAATTACATATTCTGCAAGTCAAGTTCTTCAGGTTACGGGTCGAAAAAGTCGGTTGTCATACGACCATACTGCGACGAATTGATAGTGACAGCTTCGCCGGTG